ATGGAACGCATCTACACACGTCGCTGAATAGGCTCTTAAAATTCAGTATTATCAAGCTTGATGGGAGAATAACTTGAGACTAAAGAGCTCGTATTATTCTTATGGCCAAGCCTTTGCTTCATAGACCACGTCTATGATAAAACATGTTTGCTGTTAGCCAACTAGCTCTAGTCTCCGCCACATCTATCATAATTCTATCCGTAATACCAAGTCTAATCTCTTGTTTTGATTCTACTTGTTTTTAGGAGGGCAAATGGTGAACCACAACATTTGAGGGTTGACACAAAAGATATCAGGTCATAGGAAGTCTTAGACTTGGTAGCATGGACAGAAACAGATAATTAATAGAAAGAAATGTAGAGGTAATAAAGGGTAGATTCAAACTCAGATTTTATGAAAATCCGATCAGGAATAAGGAGGGCGACCAAAAGTAGATATGCCTACACTCCTGTCAACTGAGCTAAGTATTGGGACCATTACTAAGAAAATGAAATATCAATATAATATCAATATAAAGAAGAAGACAAGACTTTTCACTATCATCTGAAGCAATACGAGAACACTAACAAACACTGATTGCTCGAGAGTTTATCGCATCAAATACGGCAACTGTGAGCAGAATTTTATTGGTTTATAATTAAGAAAAATCGGCCTACGAATCATGGATCATGAAGGACTCTGCTAAAACATAGATACGGAAATATCCGTAATAGCGGAACACATTGCACGAACAGGATAGGAAATCGACTGGAAATCGAACGAAAGGCTGACTGAATATGGTTAAAATATGACAAAACGCAAGTTCCGAGAGGCTTTAGATACAGTGAAAAAGGAATTTAATGGTCAGGAGATTAGAAGAAGGTAGGATCAGCGAAAAATTTGCACATGGCATAAAAATCTCGGGGAAGACTAGTGAAAAAGAAGACGACAGGATCAAAGTAACATCTATACTTTTAGGAAAAGAGAGATCAGGGAGACCAGAAAGGAATAATCAGAAGCCAATAGGAGACGTCTACAGTAAGCCTAATCAGAACATGTAGAACCACAACATTTGTGGATTGGCACACAAAAGATTAGGGCATAGGGTGTCATAGACCTGATATTATGGATAGAAGCATCTATCTTGCTTCTATCCATAATACGATGTCTATAGCTTCCTATGCCCTGATCTCTTTTGTGCAAAAACCTCAAATGTTGTGGTTCTACATTGGACCTCATCAAAACAAGTAAAATCACAACTTTGTGGGTTAACACATTAGACATTAGGACATAGGATGCCATAGAGTTGGTATTACAGATTGAAACAGTATAGATGTGGCAGAGGTAGCCACCTTTTTCTTTTCGTCTAGTATATTTTTGCTCAATTTCGTAAAATATGCAATCTTGTCCTTATGATGTCTGTCACAGTACAGATAAGGGTTCAGCACAGTTTCATCGGGGTCGTAGGACTGTGAGCCGAGGACTTATTCGCACGATTCAACAGGCTTCCCTACGAGATAATCCTACTTTGGTATACGGTGAGACAACATCACGAATTATTTCCAACCAACTTTCCTTTCGAAATGGAGAATTATGCCATAATAACTGTAGACTTGTTTGATCATAGAAGTGGTCGGTGAAGCAAGGGCTTGGTCATGAGAATTACACGAGCTCTTTAGTCTCAAGTTATTTTCCCATCAAGCTTGATAATACTGAATATTAGGGGCCTACTCAGCGACTTGGGAAGATGCGTGCCATCAAAAGCTTGAGACAGTGTGGGAAATAACGCCCCGAGTAGTATATAAAGGGTGACGGAGGTCGAGTTAAATATCTGAACAGTAGGAGGCTGATCCTACGTGGCAAGAGGAAGACTTTGAGGAAACCTAGGGGAAGAGGATTGCAGGGTGAGGGGTGAGAGAGCCAGCGTGTGCTTTGAAGAGTTATCATGAAATCCTTTAAAAAAGGGCAAACCATACCACATTAAAATAAGAAATTGTGATACGAGACTATAGGATTGGTGAATAGCCCAAACTAGAAGGAGAGATACCGCAATTGTTTAGCAGACAATTGGTCAGAGAATTGATGGCATTTGTCTATTTTGACGATTTGTAGTGTGGTGCTTAGAGTTGCAAGACTCACCGATGTTGCGATGCCGGCGAAACGTCCACTGTTCGACTCTGGAAATTGTCATGCATACTATGGACTCCGGACTAGATGGGTTTTCCAGGTTTTACTACCAATATGATCAAGTTGTGAAGGCGAGGTCAAAAGACATTTATGCAACGAAGAGAGAATGTGGCAATGCAAAAGGCCACTACATCTTGGTTTTAATACCTTCGATTTAATTAGCATTATTTCCTCTTTAAAAGCGACGTTACAACCAGATTATTTTAAAATTCTGCTGCAATCCTAATGCTTTTTACATAAAATAATTTGATTGTTAATGCATTTAAACCAATGCTTATGCTATGGACATGAGATATATTGACTTCGAAATCATGTTTTGCCCTACATTTGTTGATTTATTCTGCTAGAATATTGGCCAATCTCTGCTAGCTCCAATCAACACCCAACTCTGTAGTCTAATAGAACCTAGGTTATATCTCGAACAAAGTCTTAGATCATCTATGATCTCGCTTTTCAGGCCTGCCTCCTGGTTTGTGATTTTAAAATTAATTTTAAATTCCCGATAATTTTTTTCTCGGAACCTAGCTATTTCATTTTCATTAATTGAGAATGATTCAGGCATAACTGATTCGTCATTTTGCTCCTCTCTTAAATATCGATTTAAGGACTTTGTATAGTGCTATTTTACATTAGCAGACACATTTTATGTTCATTTTCCTGTTCTAAAAAACCCATCACGCTTAGGAACTAAACGAAATTTAAATTTCATTCTTGAAGAGTGAGAAGTCTTTTTTAGTTTATTATTTTATCTAGGGTAAATCCATCTTGGCCATTTCTCCACTGGTCTAGCTACCTAGCTCTACTGGTTATGATTTTGACGTTAATGTGAAATCTGCGTAGTCAGTTGATCTGCTTCACTTAATCCACAAGAAATCAGCTCTCATCATAAAGGTGTCGGCAAAAGTGGGAAATTTGAAATGTGACTGCAGTCTTATTTTCTTCCATTTCCTCTTTTCGCAACTTGGTCACACTTACTGAGAGTTTTCAAAGAACGACCTAAGTAAGGATTCATTCTGCCTGCTGCTCGTTTATTCGTTCCGTATTATTGAGATTGCAGCCTGAATGATAAGTAGACTAAGCCCTGTGAGGACCGGCATGAAACTCATCAGGCATTTTGGAGTTCTGGTGAGACCCCGACAGGGTAGGAGTCACAGTTTGTTTTCTTAATGAGTAGACCTTTTGGAAAATATACTAACGGAAACACGATGATATAGTGTATTCTTCTCATTTAATTTGAAGCAACTGCCATATCAGGCCTTTGGTTGCCACAGTTCTTTTAGTACCAAATTAAGAAAACGTTTGGATTCTTCTAGGCCTAGCAACCAAGTCAATCGAATTACCTCCTTTCGAATACTGGTTTACTAATCATCTTTCAAATTGAATTTCATGGCGTCATTTCCTTATTTACGAGTCAGTATGCGTCTGATTGAATACCCTGGCTACCCTAGTTCGCCTTATTGACCCCAAAGCACTCATATGGGTTTTGAGACGTCCGGTAGACTTCTCGTGAACTCCTCTCCGTCGCTCTTCTGGACGGTGTTAGTTAATGATGAGACAAAATATTTCACTATTCCAATACTAGTCAGAATGAGGGGATGGAGTACGGTCTAGAATTTGAATGTATGAGTTCCGGAAGTGGCTCCCCTGGCAGAAGATAATTAATAGCTTTTATTGCATTTCAGTAAGATAGACAGGAAGCGTAGGTTTACTAAAAGGATACAATTATAGCTGCAAAAGAGGAATACGAAGATGGAATTTAAAAGAGATTTCACAGATCTGCATTAATCTTATTTTTATGGACTTCGTACTAGCCTGATTATTATTTTAAATAATATTTTTATATAAGTCGTTTGACCTTGTATTTGCAACTTGCTTATATTGTCAGGGACACTTAGAGAAACGCATCTTGTCCGGAGTCTATAGTCTACATGCTCGTTTCCAGAATCGGACCATGGACCTGGTACACTTTCAGACGTTTCGCCAGCATCATTGTCAATGAGTCTTGCCATTATTACCACCACACTACAATTTATCAAAGAAAAAACAAAGTTTACGGAACGTCTGTAAATGTTCCAGATCCACGGTCAGACTCTGGACATTATCATTGATACTATGGCCTCCGGACAAGGTGCACCTCTCTGGGTCGCTCTTACAATACGACTAATTTGCAAAAACGAAAGAAGACCCCGACGATACTAAAGGCCACGAAACCATGGTCTTCATACCTTCGATTGAATATTTTAATAATTTGTTACTCTTCATATAAAATGAAGTCGGGAATGCAATTTCGTATTACGTTTTGGTTGTCTTATTTTTCTGGCAACTGGCTAATTTTTATTAGCACTTTTGCGCGCCAACTATTACGGTTTTTTGAACCAAAATATTTTAAAGCTCCATTCAATATTTTTCTTAGGCATATTCTGACTTTAGTATTTTATTAACATAAAATATGTTTAGAAAATATCAGTAAATCTTGAATAATATTTCCAGACAGCCTATGTCGCAGAACGTTGGATTTTCGTATAAATATGTCATCAAGCCTCAAGTTTTCATTGAATTTCACTTGGTTTTGCTTACAAAAAGGTTATCCTCATCCAGAATGGACGGCAGTTTCGACCTCGCCTGTGTCTCCTTAACACTCCCAGAGGGAATCGAGCTCTTGCAGTGCAGCGTATAATTTTTGCTCGTTGCCATCACGCCACACTGCCACGAGTGCTCTTAGATCATAGAGCATATGTGAATTTATAGGAATGCAAGGTCATTTGAGACCATTTTAACAAGATGCTTTAGTTGCAGCTCCGTAAATCTCTCTGGTGGTGCATATCATTAAAAAAATGGTCGAATGGTATGCTTTTTTAATCGTTGCTATGATTCTGGTAATATGAACGATGCAGTCTCCACTATTGGATTGGTTGCATGACTTTAACTAGATTTTCTTCTGATCCATTTTTATTTTAACTCCTTCTCGGTTATGAATTTGGTTCATTGGCACTACTATCACGCGAATACTCAGAATTCATGCCAAAGGGGCTCAACAGAGATTCGCCATTCCTCCCAAAGATGTTGGGCTTAGACCCAAAATACGTCATTGTCGGAGCCAACGCAAGGGTGTTCCTGTGCAAGAAAGTGATTCATCAGGCAGAGCTGAATCTGCTAACTCAGGACAACATTTACCAACGTGCAGATCAATAGCTCGCAGATGGAGTCTCTCCTTCGATGAGGCTTTTCCGTTATCAATGTCTGGTCCTGTCTGTCTCAATTCTCCGGGCTCCTTAGGCAAACAGACAGATCAGTCTACTGAAGAAAAAGAAAGGTTCGTCTACTATTTGTAATGGAGTTCTGGACTGTAAACTTAATTGTATAATTGTTGAGCTTACTTACATTTCGAGTGAAAGTATTGGGTGAAGAGATTCGAAGGTCGGTTCCACCAGAAGATGACGGCTTTGAGCCATCACTTCGGGTTTCGTGCATAAGCGAACACAAACATGAACATACAAATTCAGAGACAGACACACTCACATGCATCGAAGTTGAGATATGACCTTAACTAACCAAATCACTTTATACTTGATCAAAGAGGCCACTTTTTAGGGATTTGCTAACGAATTTTCATGACTGGTTAGCTTAAATTTTGTTGTGATGATGTTACCTCAATCTGATGATGTCCGTCATATGATGGAGGAAAGCTTAACACCTTTTAACCCGAATCGAAGGAGATTGCCTCGGAAACAGCGTCAGCATGAATCTTCCTGATGTCCGTCATATGACGGACGAAAGCTTAGCACCTTTTCACCGGAATCGAGGGAGATTGCCTCGAAAACCGCGTCAGCATGAATCTTCCAGTAAAGCCAGCACGGGTTCACCGGAATCGAAGGAGATTGCCTCGGAAACAGCGTCAGCATGAATCTTCCAGTAAAGTATCGACAGCTGGTCAAGAGGAATCCGCCGTCGTCTTCTGGTGGAACCGACCTTCGAATCTCTTCACCCAAGAAGTAAGCTCAACAAATATGAAACAAGAGATTCCTCGAAACCCAACTTTTCTTCGCATTAAATGTATAACATATCATTAGCCAAATTCTCTATTTAGAAGCCAGGCTACTTCACCTTATATACAAATATGCTTATGGTAATATAACATTTATTTACGTTCAGACTTAAGTGTAAATGGGCTTCTGAGACACATTAAACGGGAAAATAATGTTTTATATAAGTTGTTTGACTTTTTGCA